GGGGGGGACCCGCTTTAGGCTTACATCAGAGAAAACGTGTTGGAACTTTAGTTTGGCGTGACCTCCACGAACGGGCTTAAAATTTTAAAGTTTGTTGGTCATCCCACTTTTAGACCCGTATGCAAAGACCTGAGAAGATTAAACAGTTAATAAACAGAGCGATTTAATTCCATCCTGTTTTGACCGCGGTCAGGCGAAAGCAAAGAGGAGGTGGCCAGGGACAGGCACGCGTGGCGGTTGACTCAAGTTGACTGCTCTCTAACTTATGCGTCTGGCGCTAGGCTGCAGGCAGACAACATACAAGGCTCAAGGCTAGGCTATCGTATAAATGAGATAGCCTATCGAAAGTTAAAAAAAACACAAAACCCACAGCATTGTCGGGGAAAGCACGGCTTGCGGGCCGGACCCAGCCCTATAGCCTATAAAGTTTTAGGGAAACATTTGATAGCAAGAAAAATGGAAATCCACTAGAAATCTAGGCCTACAGGATGATAATACATGTAATATTAATGTAGTTTTCGCATTTTGGTCAAAAGTCAAAATACAACATTATTAGAGAAAAGGCTAGTTATTGTAGTGCAATTTAAAGGACAAATTGATGTAATTTAATAATGCAGTAAAAGAGGTTTGTTTTTGTATTTTGGTTTTAAAAAAGTTTCCTTACGCACTAGATCTAGCTAGATCTAGATCTAGATCAGAGAGGGTTGATCTAGATCTATGTCAAGCAGTACAGTAGGCCTATTAGGACGTGGCGCATTTATTTTGCTGTTCATGACCAAGTCCACAGACCACATTGGTTAGGCCTAGCTAAGAACTTGACAAATGAAGGAAAATCTGGCCCACTGTCAAATTGTTACGTGAGAGTATTGCGTCCAGATAGGCCTTTGTCTAAAAATGGCACCAATTCTTAGACTATCTTGAAAATACTTTTAAATTATTATTTATTCGTATAGTTTATCTTCATAAATGAATTATAGTATCTCTGATCAGCTGGAAAGAGGTTGTCGAACTTCTGGCGCCTAGGCTAGCTCTAGGCCGACCGCAACCACTTTTCGCATGGTCATTGCGCGCAAAGCGCATGCGTACATTTCAAATTTGTTCCACCCACCTCCCCTCGAGTGCGGAAGCAGCGTTTGCTCTAGAATAATCTAGGCTATCAGGTTGCCTTGAGAATAGGCTATCAAGAAAAGGCCCTTAACTCATGAAGGTTTAACAGCCTGTTGGCTTAAAAAATAAGATAGAAAGTTACCTAAATCATAATCTATTGATACTAAATATTTTAATTAAATTTAAAAAAAATAAAACCCAGCTGTTTTGATTGCGGAGGGAGAGAGTAGAAAAACTACATGTATTACTTGGTTTTGTTAGGACCAACCCTCGGATGTCTCTATAGTTCTATAGAAACTAATGGGTCCAGATTTGGCAACACATAGCAGGCTAATGCCAAACAACCCCACCCCACCCCCGCCCCTCCCCCTTAAAACGTGAGAGCATTCTGACGGCAGAAGATGAACTGTGAAAATTAATGATTGGACCTATATAAGTTTTCAAACCAAATTTGATATACAAATTAAATATAATTAAATTTAAAAAACGGCTTGGGATGCCCATGTTACACGCTTTATCTGGGGAGCCAGCATTGCGTCAAACGAGATTAGTAGCCTAGGCCAAAGCCAAACAGGCACAGAGGTGAAATAGAGCCCGGTTGTATTGCTAATCTTTACCATCACTTCATAATGGCTAGTTTAAAGCATACATTAAACAAGTTTATAAATTGAAAATAGCAGAGCCGTTTTCATTTTGAAATTCTTTTAATTATTTTATACCAAACTGCTCGAAATCTATTGTTGTAAAACCCCAAAAGAGCCCCATAAGAAGAGGTACCGAAGTCCCACCTTCACCTTGCTGTGAGGTCAAGGTTTGCGTGCACTGAGGTCAGTACCCGGCACTGAAGAGAGACGCGCTTCCTCCTTCACTTCCTGGCCTAATCTTTAGCAGTCAGTTCTCAATTCATTCATTCCTTCGGTAAATATCTCAACAAACACCAGTGATGGATGACAAACCTAAGTATCCCGAAGAAGCGGAGCACGCTAGGGTCTATTTCGACATTAACATAAACGATAAACCTGCAGGTCGTATTGAGATAAAGGTAAGTCCAAGTTGAAAATGTGTGTGTAGATTTCTAGATTTACGAGAATTTATGGTCATTGCGACATAAAGCCTACTCAGATGAGTCAGAAGCTAACGCTACAACTACAAATTTAGAGTCAAGAATCTAGATCTAGATTTGATCTAGATTCTAGATCTAGATCTAGATTGACTCTATTGATTGTCACTCTGTGAGTGTGAGTCCCATTCACCTGATTGTCGGAATACTACTGGACTGGGCGAGTCACCAGCAAGTTAAACACATGCATTTGCATGCCTTGCCTAAACTGGATCTCTATCTCTGATAGATCTAGATCTAGATCTAGATCTAGATCTAGATTAGATTTAGAATTTAGATCTAGATCTAGATTCTAGTTCTATTCTAGAATTCTAGATATAGATCTAAATTTCTAGATCTAGAGATCTAAATCTAGATCAAGATCTAGATCTAGATCTAGATTCTAGATCTAGATTCTAGAAATGCGGGTGCAGGTCATAGGCTAGACTAAAGGCAGATCTGATTCTAAACTCTAATCTAAACAATGAGGCCTACTTTTCGACATGTGTGCCGATATTAGATCTAGATCTATATTTGGCATTCTGCAAGCACGAGATATCAAACAATTGAATTACAAAACATCGAAATACGGTTAAATTAATAAAAAATAAAATGATTGATTATTGTAAGATTAGCACTTTTAAAACATCGTTTTAAAAAGATTGTAGGCCTATTTCTTGATGTTGATTTCATTTCATTATTTTTATTTCTTTTTTTCAGCTGTTTGCTTCAACCCCCAAAACATCAGGTGAGGATACATTTGGAAGAGAAATGAAGTTGTACAGACGGAAATAATATATGGGTAAAATTGGTTTGTTCTTGTGAAAAAAAGGCTCAATTTTTTATTTTAAGGAAGTCAATGAAAATTTTGCACAAGAGAACAAACCAATTTTACACTTGATAAGTGTGGGTGGTTTACTCCTTCTTTCCTATCAAACATCTATCGTCCATAATATATTTTCTCTCCTTCTTTTTTGTGTTTGTTACTCTCTTGTAATGCACCTTTAATCTCCAGCACTATGTATGGCCTGTGTTGCAAGTGCCGTAAAACTTAAGCTGAAACCATAGTAGACCTGACCCGTTCCGTTATTTTGACACAATTCTTTTACCGATGGAATGGATCTGTCAGAGCGGCCATAGCAAACCGGCTTTCTGCCGGTTTGACAGCTGCTACGTCACTCATTGCATATATAAAAATGGCAAATGCTACTTAACGAATCAGATTGTTGTTTCTGCTTTGGTGGTTGAGGAAAAAGAAAAGAGGGAGTCCTCGACGTTTTGCGGTTTATAATTCCTATTGACAGAAGGAGGCTTTGTATGGAGAAAACCACCAACTGATGCCCCAACTCCGCAATCACCCGTCGTACAAGTTTCAGCAGTATCTCAGAATGACAGTCTTTTGATGCTCTTCTTGAACTGTATGCGCCCAGTCCTATATATAGAGAAGTGAAAGAATTTTTGCAAAGCGATTTCATCTGAAGAATTTTTCTTCGTCCATCTTCATCAGTTGCAAGGGGAAAGAACTGTCATTGTAAACCATGGACAAAGTACTGTCCCTTCCAACTTTCCTTTCCGTCGACCCGGCAACCGGACAGTTTACACAATAGGCGAAACGACAGTGTGAAAATACCGTGCCGGGCGGGCTGTTACTTTGGCCGTCCACGTCGTTGCTGGTGGCACCACATGATCAGTTCGGCCAAGTTGATTCTTCTCCCCGTCACGGCAAAAGAACGGCGCCATAAAAAAACGGAACGGAACGGGCCGGGTCTACTATGGTTTCAGCCTCACTAAAACTAAGTGGATAAGTGAGAGGAATGTCTCTGAGGACAAAGGATGAGGGTTCTTATGGTCTAGAGATTGCGGTGTTCACCTCTCGTTCAATAGGTCCTGGATTTTGAAACTTGACAGCGAAGGAAAATTATTTTTATCTAGTTTATTTTCTCCTTTCACCTCCTTTCCTGCTCTCTAACCATGATCTGTTTTCTGCTTTCGTCTCCACTTTCGCCTCCTCTGGATTCCGGACTTTCTACAGCCTTTCTACCACTGCTACTCTTTGACTCCTCACTCATACTTACTGCTGTCTTTCAGCCACAGCCCCTGATCTTAGGGTAGGTAAGATCTAACACCTAGCCTTCTCGGATAAGGCAAAAAAGTCTTGGAGGTCCCTATGTAAATTATGCAAATTAGATTCCTTGGTGGTCCAAAATCGATGAGAGTTGGCTTCGACTGCCAGCTGAGCAAAATTCAAAATAAACTCCCACTAAAGATGTTTAATGTGTCCCGCACGCTCACATGACCTTTTATGCAGTTGCGAGTGCTGTCCCCCAAACTGGACAACGATGAGAGCCTGCGGAGACATCTTTCATCCCATCGTTGTGTTGGTCACAAGTCCTATCCTGGACACCCCCCCCCCCCCCCCCACGGGCAGGGCTTTTCCTCAGACATACGACGACCAATTTCTTATCTTGCATCCACCAAGGCAGTGCTACTGACTGAAGTGTCTTTAGGCCATTCCCAAACGAGGCATGTTAACATGTTCTTATGCTCAGTAGAATTGTAAATGGGCTGATTTATCAATGTCACTCTCATACTGTGCTGGAACATAGAGGGGGAACTGAGTTTTCTTTTCTCACCTTTACTATCGTCATTTTGCCTCTCTACTTCTTTTGTAAGTTTGTCACTCTCTTGAGAACTGCTATCTCTAGGGTGCCTTGATAGTCAAAGCAGACTTTGTGCTGTTGAGGCTAGAGAGGTGAGCAGAGAAAGCCTGATTCCCCGTTTGGACTTCTCTGTTGACTTCCACCCCTTAGCGCTCTTATATAATGACCTTAAATGCAGTTCAGAGCGCCGTAAAAACCTCACGTCTAAAGAACCCAACATTTATTTGTTAAAATCTACTTCCCCCCAGAAAATTTCCGCGCACTGTGCACCGGAGAGAAAGGGTTTGGCTATGCTGGCAGCGGGTTCCATCGCATCATCACTGACTTCATGTGTCAAGGCGGAGATTTCACCAACCACAACGGCACTGGTGGGAAGAGCATCTACGGCAACAAGTTTGAAGACGAGAACTTCAAGTTGCAGCACAAGGGACCTGGTAAATCATCTTGTGCTCCTACAATAATAATGTTATACTCGATAATCATAAACATCTTGTAGTTGATAAATCATAAACGTTTTGTACTATAAATAGTGATGATGTTGTTTTTAGTAATTATTAAAACCTCGTTTACATGGCCTGAATACGAGTACTATTGGCTTTAATATTCACATTCTGAATCCTGCAGTCGAGTTACGTATTTTAACTCTTTGGCCAATATGTGCCTCGGCCAAAACGTAGAAAATGTATGGTGTGAGGGAAGTAGGTTATAGGGAGATGTTTCCGTGTTGAACTCTGGTTGTCCTGACTTGACCGTTGCCGAACTTTTGTGGAGAAACCGTAGGACGGAGCCAGATTTTCGATATTTTAAAACTTCATGTATTCGAGAAAATCAAAGGTATCCATCGCTGTTTATCAGTGTGAGGTACCCCAGGATTGAGCCATAGATTTTCTAAACCACTTACTCTTAAAGTTGTTAGCGTCGTTTTCTTCTCTTGATGAAAATAGAAACATAAATGTGCCGTGATTCAGTGGAATGAAGTGCTCGTCAATTTCTGGGCATCATTTGTTAGCGTGGGTGGTTGGTGGGTGCTCTTGTGTGGTTTGCTCCTTTATTCCTATAAAAAATCTATTGTCTCTTTCTCCTCTCCTTCGTTTTTGTGTTTTTGTATTTGTTATTCTCTTGCAACACCTCTAATCTTCGGCACTTATATGACCTTATCATGTTCCAAATGCCGTAAAACTCTTACTAAAACTAAAACTCATTTGTAAGCTCACATTCCTCCCTGTAGCTTGTTAATTAATACTTGCGTCTGGTGCAGTGGTCAGGTGCTTCGCTGTCGCACCTAGGAGAGGCCCGAGTTCAATCCCGGAGTAAAGGGAGTTGGGTATCTCTGGTCTTTGTACTGGGGTATCTCTGGTCTTTGTACTGGGGTATCTCTGGTCTTTGTACTGGGGTATCTCTGGTCTTTCTACTGAGATATGATATTGTTTGGCAGTGCAAATAGAACTTCTCTACGTGACAAAATTTAGGTCATCTTTGGGTATTTGGTATATATTTAGTTTTAGTAGATTTATATCTATATGATTCCCGAGAAGCTGAGAATGTTTCGCAGTGTTCTGTGGTCTGCTGGGGTAATAATATAGTGTAAAGCGCATAGAGCCTGCTGTTGAGCAGGGATATGCGCTATACAAATGCTATCTATTATCTATTATTATTATTATTATATTCTCTGCCTACTGCCCAGGCAAAGCTGTACCAGGAATGCTGCTTCTTTGATTGTTAACAAGCACAAGTTCATCGATATTTTATGGTTATCATGGTCGAAAGTCATCCTAAAAATGTTTGCCATTATTTGGCTATGTATTCTTAAAGATGTCATGACACGATGCGATGCTATAAATAAAATGATCTCCTCCTGACCCCAGTCTTTATCAAAATAGTAATATATATATATACTCTCTGAAAATCTGACAGCAGAAGTGATTTCTGCATCCAAAAATGCTACCCAAGTTTCATTGAAATGCTCACTGAGATTTCGTCAATTTTTAAAATAAAATTTGTTGTAACATGGTCCACTTTTTGAGAATATTTCCCTATGGGGCGTCCATATTTTGCAGCAATTTATAACTTTAAAAAAATGTAACCGATTAAACCACTTAATGTCTTAGAATAGACAGCGCTCTCTAAAGCCTCAAATGAAAAAGGGCCCCTAAGGGAAACAAATGTAACTATTGAATCATGTACTATTGTCCAGGTACCCTGTCTATGGCGAACGCCGGCCCCAATACCAACGGATCACAGTTCTTCATCTGCACAGTGCTCACTTCCTGGTACGTCTCAAGAAGTGCTTTGTCGATTGTACCAAACTTTTCCATGGGGCTGTCGTGATCTAGAGGTTAAGGTGTTGGCCTCTCATTCAATGCCTTAGTGTAGGTAGCGTAAACACAGCGTCGCTGGCACTCGCGGCCTTCCGAGCGCGTGGTTTAGGTGAAATCGGGGTAATTCAGATCACTGTTACTTCGCTCTTTCGCTATCAAACACGAAATGCTGTACACCTTGTAAAAGTTCAGCTTTTCCTCGTTACAATGGTGTAAGTTGTTTATATGTCCGATTATTAGGAGCTGGAGAATTGCCGTGGAAAGCGAAGCCCCTCGCGGTTGGAATGCATGGTCGGCTGGTTTAAAAATTGACACGCATGCATTGAAATGCTTCGCGGAAAGATTGATGATTTAATGCCGCCTTTTTATAGGTGGCAAACTGTAGAGCTTTGAAAGGGCTTCCCTGTTGTATATATTTGGCCTTTGGCATTTAAATAGAAAGCCTTTCAAAATACTGTCAAAGTTTTTAAAGATCATTTTTTAAACGAAATATGTAAAATACTGGCTCAAAAAAGGTACCATTAGAACGATCACTTCATTTTCTATTAGATGAAAGTAATTGGCTTGGAATTATTTTCTATGAATCCTTTCGCGAAGCTCGGAAAGCATGTGACCCCCCACGCGGGGAACTCTCTGTACACTACAGTATAGAGCCGCTCGCTTGCCGCGGGGGACGGTGCGGTGCTGGCAGGGTCAACGCTCGGTGTTTTTGTGGAAATAACGACAGATCATCGTGTTTGCCTTTGCGGCGATAAAATACTGATTTGTAATGATCTCACAATCTCCATCTCTATGTTATAGTGATTGTTACTCTGTAAATGTGGATATGTCTGGTGCACTTGGTACTCTTTTATTGTCTGTCAAACATGGGGTTGCAGCCAGTTAGTGACTGAAGCAAATTTGATAATATTTAAAACAGCTACCATGTTCTTAAAAATGGACTGAGAGGTTAAAGAATGGTATCAACATTGACAGGAGATTTAGGCCTTTCAGATATTGGAAGAGACAAATTTGGCATTCAGCTACTTTGAAAATTTAATCCTACTTATTGTGTTCTACAAATGTCTGTCCGTCCTTTTAACGTGGTGATAGATCTGGTATTATAAAACTTGTTGGCACTTACGTGACCAAAATTAAGTCAATAGTGCCATAAAACACCTCCACCTACACGATCAATCAATCAGACCTTCTTATTGTGTTGCAAGTGTTGTAAAACCCTTACCAAAACTAAAAACTAATTTTGTTTTTCTGTTTGTTTCCTCCCCTCCCCCAGGTTGGACCAGAAGCACGTTGTGTTTGGCGAAGTGGTGAAGGGAATGGACGTGGTCCGCAAGGTTGAGGGCCAGGGATCGTCCAGCGGCAAACCTTCCTCCAAGGTGATCATCGCAGCCTCTGGCCAGCTGTGAGCCGGCCCGTGGGGGGCTGCCCGCCGTGGGGTGGTACAGCTGTGATGTCCCACCGTGGGATGGTACAGCTGTGATGTCCCACCGTGGGATGGTACAGCTGGAATGTCCCGCCATGGGATGGTACAGCTGTGATGTCCCGTGTGGGATGTCCCACCGTGGGATGGTACAGCTGGAATGTCCCACCATGGGATGGTACAGCTGTGATGTCCCATGATGGGATGGTTCCTTGTGTCCTGCTGTCTTAGATCCCTGATGTCCCGTAGATCCGAGTTCACGGCTGCCAACCACAATATCAACAAATGTACTTTGTCTTTTTGACGCTTTTACGGAAGTCCGTTTTCATGTTGGAAAATACAAATTCTGTGTTCTAGTGTTGCTCCCCACAAACTTGGGACAATACTGAAGAAAAATTAGAAACTTTGAAGACTGGATTTGTGAACAATACTGAGACGGGAACCCACACGGCAAAAGGAGAGATCTTTTGCTGCAGGCCTACTGTCAGCAGCTTGGATTTATTGAATGCAGAAAAGTGTCGTGTGTGAAGGGTTTGGAGGGGGGTTTACTAAGCCAATGCCCTCCGTCATCCTACCGGGAAGAGTTTTTTTTGGTTGTTTTTTGTTTGTTTTGAAAAGTTGTCAGCTGTGTGACATGGGCGGAGGAGGACAAACGTAGTGGGTTGCTCCTCCAACCACCCAACTCCTTGACGACGGCGGCCAAACGTAGTGGGTTGCTCCTCCAACCACCCAACTCCTTGACGACGGCGGCGCGCTCCAGATCCTCCTCTGCTCCTTCTGTGAAGGAAAATTTGCCCAGCCTCCTGTTGTAGTTCGGAAAATTACCTTTTTCTGCTGAGGGGATTTTTGTTTTGTGTCAATTTGTCGAAAAGTTTCCCGTGAATCCTGTTGTAGAAAAATTACTTTTACGCAGAGGGGATTTTTGTTTTGTGTCAATTTTACGAAGAGAAAAGATTTCCCAGGATTTTTGTCACCATGGAAGCAACATTGCGGGGGAAGTGAGGAGCGTGGGGAGGTTGGGCATGTAGAGAGGGCGGGGTCTGGGCTGTTGGTGGAAGGGTTGCCCCGTCTCTGGGACCTCGGGACATGGGAGACCTGTAGCACCGCGGCGGGCGGTTGTGCACTCACCTTTTTGTATCTCATCTATAGCACATTTTTGTAGTTCCTCTTGACATGTTTGAATTTGTTCCATTTGTCGGAAGAAGGGGCTGTCTGTCATGGCCTCGGCCGTTTCTCACATTTGGCTCATAATCTTGGAATTTTTTGCACGTACATGACGAATATTTGAGGGTCTTGTCAACGTTGCGTTGTGTGTCGTGTCCTGTGTGTCACGTTACATTGTGTGTGGTGTCCCTGATGACATGTTACATTGTGTGTCGTGTCACGTTACATTGTGTGTCATGTCCTGTGTGTGACGTGTGTGTGTCCCGGCCGCCAAAGATGGACTAGGCCGTCCAGAGCCGGGGCAGCCTGTCTGATGGTTGCAGTTTTGTCTCAGCTTTTGAGTCGGGACACTGACCTCCGACCTCTGACGGACTGTCAGTGGGGGACTCTCTGACCTCCGACCTCTGACTGACTGTCAATGGGGGGGACTCTGACCTCTGTCTATGGGGGACTCTCTGACTGTCTATGGGGGGGGGGGGGATTCTGACCTCGGAAGTAACCAAGAAGTGACATTTTTGTCCAGCCTTTTTCCAAGTTGTCCTTCCTGGTCCTTCGTCTTTTCGTACTCTGTTTATTTCTTCCTTTTTTTTGCTATAAATTATTTAGAAAAATGTATTGTCAGGTGTAGTAGATTCTGTTATCTTTATCTTTTGTTTGTGTCTAGTTTTGGTTCCTATTGTTTTTGTTAAATAAAGACAAGCGAATCAAATGGATGTTTTCTTCTTTGTGTCTGCAGCGAATGTCACTCAGTGGGTGGTTGGCGGGTGCTCAGGTGTGGTTTGCTCCTTCTTTCTTATAAAAAGTCTATCTACTCTATCTCCCCTCTGTCTTTTTAATGTTTGTTACTCTCTTGTAGCACCTCTGATCTTCGGCACTTATGACCTTGTGTTGCTTGGGCCGTAAAACTCTTACTACTACTTCTATGAGAATGTCACTTGTGTTAATTTGTCTGCGGTCCTGTTCATTGGTCATTAGATGTGAGGCGTGGGTGGTTGGCGGGTGCTCTGGTGTGGTTTGCTCCTTCTTTCCTATCAAACATCTATCGTCCTTATCTCCCCTTCTTTTTTATGTTTGTTACTCTCTTGTAACAACTCTAATCTTCTGGCGCTCATATGACCTTATGCAGTTGCGAGCGCCATAAAACCTCTACTAAAACTAAAACTAGATGTGAGGCATACTGACAAAATGAGTTACTTCTCGCTATCCGCAAATGGAGATATTGGCCAAAAAATTGACTTTGACTCTAGGGTCAATTTGTAGATTTACTATTGTCATATTCTTTAAGTATAACTCTATAACATGCCTTTTATTATTTCGTACTTATAAATTGTAAAAACTTCACCTTATGAGAGTGATGTATCTATAAAATTTCCATAGGCTCAAATCTGAGAAATAACTCATTTTGTGAGCACGCTTCACATATATGACTGGTGATGGGGAGGGAGAGATTTGAGTTCTGCTTTGGTAGAGCATGTGGTGTCTGTGGTCTAGAGGTTAGGCAGTCAGGGGCTCGCAACTGGAAGGTTGTGGGTTTAGACGTCGTCAGGTGCCTGATGTGTCCTTCCTTGGGGAAAACACTTTACTGTTACACGAACTTTCCTCAGTGGGTGGTTGGCGGGTGCCCTGGTGTGGTTTGCTCCTTCTGTCCTGTCAAACAGGGTTGAGAAAGGGCTTCTTCGGAGTGAATGGATGAACCCAATACAACACTCGTCACTCAGAGCCATCACGTGGATATTCTGTCCTGGGCAATCTGGAGTGAAGGGCAATGAGGAGGCTGATAGGCTGGCAGGCAGTGCCGTGGTTGATGGCGAGGTGAAATTTGACAAAGGAGAAGTGTTGAAGACCCTGGAGGAAAAGTTGCGGGATGAGGAAGACAGGGAGACAGCAGAACACCACGCAGTCATTAGGATGCGGGAAACGGGGATAGAGAGGGGAGAAGGAAGAAAGGAACGATTATCTGGAAAGGAAAGACGTCGCCATAGTCAGACAGCCACCGGAACAATCAGTATGGATACCTTGCAGGCTTTGGTGCTGGGGGGAACTGAGCACTTCTGGACCTGTCCGGTGTGCAATGACGTTGTTGCCCAGGACAGGTAATACAGGTATTGGTAATACAGGTAATCCTGTCCAACATCTATCGTCCTTATCCTCCTTTTTTGTGTTTGCTGCTCTCTTGTAACACCTCTAATCTTGGGCACTTAAATATAATGGCCTTATTGTGTTTCAAAGTGCAGTAAAACTCCTACAAACAAAAAACTGGGTGCCAGGATAAATACAGCACAACCATCTTGTCAGTTTGTTACTGTCTGAGTGCATGTAATTGGCAGCTTGCACTGTATGCTTCCTGGGAAGCTGAGAATGCTTCATAGTGTTCTAGTTCTAGTCTAGGGTCTACTGGGCTAGCTTTAATGTTGTACAGCGCATAGAGCTTATGTTGAGTGTAAAGATCTACATAATATATGCTGTAGATAGGAACATTACGATGAATATTATTTATAACGATGCTATGCGTTAATAGCACAGATTCAATACATGAAGAGTTCTTTATATAAATAACACATAGTATCAATACACACCGTGTTCTTTATATAACACATAGTATCAACACACACCGTATTCTTTATATAACACATAGTATCAACACACACCGTGTTCTTTATATAACACATAGTATCAACACACACCGTATTCTTTATATAACACATAGTATCAACACGCACCGTGTTCTTTATATAACACATAGTATCAACAGATGACGTGTTCTTTATAACACATAGTATCAACAGAGAACATGTTCTTTATACATGTAGTGGAGTCTGCAGTGAACTCTTTGGGACCGGAAGAAAGTGTTCACTTTATCCCAGGTTCAGTTGAACCATTTGGGCCAAAATCAAGGGAAGCGACAAGAAAAAGCCAAGTGAACGAGTTTTTGTTTTTATGGGTTGCTCCCCTTGATCAGAACTCTTTATACAACAACGTGAATTTACTGCGTTCCGTGTGAAGAGTGTGAAGGGATTTTGGGAGGGGGGGGGGGGGGGGGGTGGAGACAACACAGCGGACGAGCCTGGACTAGAGCTCTTTCTTCCTGATTGAGATTGCCGTCGCCAACGCCGAGCTGGGATTGTCTATCGATGCCCGAGGAAAAGACCTTTATTTTCACAGCATGGCGACAGTGACACGGTCGGTCCGTTTGTCGCTTTCACCCATTTTGGGCGTTCACTTTATCAATTTATCCCATTTCCCCATGAAACCGGTTCATTATATCCACTATTTTGTCAATCGTTTCAAGTGTTTCAATCGGGACCACAGACTATTGTTCACTTTAACCGATAGTTCAAACAAAGCGTGTTCACTTTAACCGATAGTTCAAACAAAGCGTGTTCACTTTAACCGATAGTTCAAACAAAGCGTGTTCACTTTAGGCGGACTCCTCTGTCGTATCAACCAGGGTCCTGGTGCGTCTAGTACAACCGTACTAAAACAGACAAAGGTGTGTCTACTGTCTAGACGGTTTGTCTAGGGAGACCCGGATCCTAGTTATCTATACATATTATATTTGTAAAAGTTTTACTGTAAAAGTTCGTCACTTTGGTGGCCTAAAACTTCCGAACCACTGAACTTTCGATTTTGAAAAAAAAATAATGACGGTTCAGAATCATTTTAAAGGGTGCACAGTTTTATTGAGGAGGCTGAAGTCACATTGTAGTTTACTTTTCAGCTTTTCATCAGTTTCGTTTAGATCTAATTTTGGGAAAAGTCCGTCTTCCAAGACGCCATTCTAAACAAGTGAGGTTTCCGTTCACTAGCCGTGCGCACTGCTTCTACACCTTTGAAATTCTGGAGTGTACAACCACGAAAGCGGAATGGAGAATCAATCCATCTATTATATATTTGGCAACTTGAAAACTCATGTGTCACTTTTCCCATAAAACTACGACAGTAACAGAGTTGAAAGTTGGCAAGTACCTGCAAAAAGATAAATAGGTTCCCATGACTGAGCCCGATTTTTGATATATTCATTTCCTGAATTTAGAAAAATATATCTGACCAAAAGTTCCCGTCCTTATTTGGCCTTTGTGATTATTCCACTGAGAAACGAAACAAATCTGCGTAGCTGTCCTCCACAGCAGAAGTGCTGGAAGTGATATTTCGCGCGGCACATTTTGTTTTGAGAGTACCGGTATAGATCTAGATCTAGACCTGCTAATTTTTTGCATCTCTCAAGATTTATTGCTCAATTCCAGTAGAGTATAAATATAATAGGCCAATGACTTTCAGTTGATGTTCATGAACCGATCATTCCTTTCATCGAAAGGGGCACAGCTAGTATTAAGTAAGACACGATAAAACAATATTTCATTATCCCAGAGGGACATTTTTCTTGGCCGTACAGGACCGTAAAAACACATGCAGGCATACGTAAAACAATCGAAATTATATTATATATATTATATTACTTTCATTCAAATTCAGTATGGAAAGAGAAGTGAAGCTGACAAAATATTATGTGTATTACAATGTTGGAAGATTCCAGCATCAACATTTTCAAAATGCTCCTTTTGTGCCCCCTTTATGTTTTGGTGAAGAGATTTGTTGGTCTAAAGTATCTTACTTTCAGAATTTGTGGAGAATAGGGCACCGGTATCTTTTGGAAACGAATGAACTACAAGGCCAATACGTGTAGACTATAAATAACACCCTGTTTTGTCCCTTGAATCTAATGAAACGTCTTTCTTGGGCGGTTTGCTCTATTGTTTATACATGTACAGTGGAACTCGGATTTAACGAGCTCAGATTCAACGAGAACTCAGCCTATTCACACCAACACATGCACTGTTGGCACACGCACGTGTATACTCTGGCGTGTGTCGGGGTCGGATGGGCGGCCTGCACTAGTGGTGTGCGAGTAAGCGAAAAATCTTGGTCGAGTAATGATCGGTTAAATGCAAAATTGTTCGGTTAACCGATGAAATTGACCGA